CTAAATGTTGTCACTGCGTTGGTGTATCTTTCCACACACTGTCTTTTGTGGAACACTGGGAGGTGTTTGTGAGAGACAAAGATGACGTCAAAGAAGGAATTTGAGCAGCATTTTTTCAAGCCCTACTCTTTTCAACGCATTGCATGTCACAAGAGACAACTTGATTGCCACTCTTGATTTCTTTATAGTTTTCCAGGGAAAATCATGTATTGAAGTGTGCAAATATATATGGAAATAAAGTATAGAAGGCAAAAACTGCGTTTTTACATTTCTAACAAGCTTGAAAACTCTTAGCGAAAGCTTTTTTGTGACTTCTTTAAGTCTCCAGGCTTCTTAAAGGACATTCAAAGCTCTTTTTTTTTTAGATATTTTCTGCCTTTTGTTCTGTTCTCTGTCATGATGATCCAACACCGCCTCGGTAATATTGAGGTCTTAGCTCTGGGGAGGCTAATCCATGACTGATATTGATTCATTGTGTCTTTTTCCATCCAGCTATGTTTTACTCCATTGGCTGTGTATAGAGAGGTACTAGTCTGCATTCTTAATTCCAACAATTTTCACAAGATCCCCAACACCACTGACTGACATGCAGTCCTAAACCATGACACACACTCACTGTTGTCCCTCTCTCTTGACCTCCGCACATATTGATTATGATTTGAACCAAAAATGTCAAATTTGGATTCATCACTCTGTAAGACTCGCCATGTTTATTTTCAACCAAGCTCTTGTGCAATCTTGCATAACTGAGCTATTTCTTCCTGCTTCCCTTCCTTAAGATTGGCCCAATTCTTCCACTGAGACATTTCTGATGAGGCTTAAAGTGACAGTAGATGGGTCAACTGGAAGGCCTGATGCATTTCCTAAGGACATGAATAGATTTTTTAGGCCTTTTTTTGTCCTCCATCTGTCCACACAATCCCAAGATATGCCAACTTTGTGGCTGATATCAAGGACTCAACTCTTTAGGAATCACCTTGGTGATATATATATATATTAGGGGTGCAACGATACTCGTATCGATATTGAACCGTTCGTTACAGTGCTTTCGGTTCCGTACGCATATGTATGAACAATACAAAATTTTAAATTTATTTTATCAACTTTTCTTCTGACGATGCTGTCTGTGTTGAGCGCTCAGTGGATCTGCGCTCGACTACTCCGCCTAGGCTGCACTGTAGAGCACAGATCCACTGAGCGCAGGACAAGCTAGCAAGACAGAAGCT